GGACAATCACGTTGAGCGTATCGGAAAAGCGTAAGATAAAGTGTAAACCTTAGCATGACTGACCTGGGTCTGTTAGACCGATTATGTAGCATCGTGTCCATGATATTGGACTCCATGCTCACCCTTGATATATTTGCCTGCTCATCTCGTCCAAGATTTTGGACTCCATGCTCATCGCTAAACTTCTCACTTCTTTGCTTGAGCATGGAGTCCAATAGCAAGTAGACCTTTTCTAGTTTTATAGTTCATCATGATCGAAAATCGAATACCTCTCTTATCTAATCTAACTTGAACCCAACCTAATCTAACCTAACCTAACCTAACCTAACCTAACCTAACCTAACCTAACCTACCTAACCTAACCAATGCACAATTTTTTACGAAAACACTTTTTACGTCTTTATTTCACAAAAATTGTCTGAATAAATTTTTGGACCATATGCTCTTGTGTTGTCAGAGAATACCTACATCCCACAATTTTGGACGCTATGCTCACTTCGATTTTTCTAAAAAATTATCCCTCATTAAAGTGAGCAGGGAGTCCAAGATCTTGGACGTGATGAGCAACCGGACATTATACAGGTGATCATGGAGTCCAATATCATGGACGCGATGCTACATTACCGCTAGACCCTTATAAGGGTAGTTTTTAAAAAAAAATGTATGTGTGGAATAGCTTTCGGTTACTATTTACTTTTTTGTCTCAAAAAAATACCAATTACTATTTTTTCCTATATTTTCTCGTCATTATATAGTTTTCTCGTATTGGATGATTTCCGATCATTATAAACTTAAAAGCTTTGAAATGAGATCAACTCAATCAGCCAAAGCACGTATTAAAATAACAGCTTAATCTAGGGAAAGGCTCCTCAACAACACAAACGACAAATTTAAAAATCCCAGAACGTTTATAAATGTATGACAATTTCATTTTAAACCGGAAAAAGGGCGAAAAACCGAGTCAATCTCGGTTTTGCAGTATCAGCAAATTGCTTCATTTTTTCGCCTCTTTTTCCGGTTGGAAATTAAATCACTAGATGTGTCCAATCGTTCCGGGTTTTTTTGGGTTTATCTTTTGTTTTGTAGCGCGCTTTTACCCAGAATAAGCTGTTATTTTATTAAAAGCTTTAATCCAGTGGTTTGATTTTGGGCTTAGTTCTCATGAAACGAAAACAGGAGAAGATGCCCTGGAATTTTTTATCTCAAAATTCTAAAATTAAAACCTCCCGGGGTGAACCTCATTTGCATCCAGCATTCGGCCATGATACGTAATGGTTTATGGTCCATTGATTAGATAGACAATCAGGCCCGAATTGAATCTTGATTGAACCCTGATTTTCCCTCGAAAATTAAGGGTTTCCCCAGAAAAAAAAACAAATGCATTTTGTTTTTTATTTTTGGTTGACAAAGAGGTCGAACCACTCCAGCACGTCCAGAAATTGCAATGCGTATATTTTTACCCTTTTCTACCCACTTGTGTGTGTTTTTTTACATATTATTCAGGCTACTCGAGTGTCTTGTTCTTTAATTTTTTTCCGCGTAACTTAACCACAAAAGCTTGCTGTGTTGAACGCTGCACGTCTTTAAAAAAAATTTAAAAAACATCCGACAGGAGAAAGCGTTCTTCCTCGCGTGAAACCCGCCACATTCTCAAGTCAAAACAACCGAGCGAGATGCGTTTTCTCAGAAATCAGCGCATAAAGTAAACTTGTGTACTACCGCGAAGACTCTCCGTCAGTCGGTCGGCTTGGCGAAAAAGCATTCCTGAGCATGATATTTCAATCAAACACAGGAAGCCAGCAGTAAGTACATTTTCGCTTGAGCTTCGAAGTGCGTAAAGACACGTAGAAACGGCGGCTCACGCTGCAGCACACTTGAAGCGAGCAGAAGAGCAGGACGTCTTAAACGGACAGTAATCACCGACATTTCGGCGTCGCGGCGCGCTAATGAAGCCGAAACGCGCGCCAAAGCGGAGCGTCATATTTTCGCCGGCGCACTTCGACACTTGAATGAAGCACGCACCGCGAGGGGGCCGGGGGGCGGTGCTCCCGCTGGGGGGAGGGCGATATTCAAACACATCATTAACTTTTATTGGCGTCCGTAAAGAACTCGCTCGGACTCCACGCGACTGACAATAAGCACCTTCATTTCTCAGTCGAATCACTCCGCCGCGACTTTTAGTTGAGTAGTTATTGCTACCACGGATTCGTCCGTCGGCTACATTGTTTCTTCCCCGGCTTCCCGGCTTTTTAATTGAGCGGCGGCGGTGCCACGTTTGCTTAAATTTGGGTATTTTCCTTGGGATGGATTATAGCTGCAGATGATGTATAAAGTGTCCCAGGGCTAAAGGTCAGCTCACTGGAAAAAAAACACTTTGGATCTTGAGTCCAGACTCTTAAAAACATCTACAAGGAAAAGTACTTTTGATTCAATCAGAATCTAGCTTAAATCAAGAACCAAGCCTCTTAATTTAAGCGGATTTTGTTTTTAATCAGCAAAAATCCGATTGAACCAAGAGTATTTTTTCTTGTCAATGTTTTCAAGAGTCTGGACTCTAGATCCAATGTGTTTTTTTTTTTTTTTGGAATATTTTTTTTTTTTTTTTTTTGTTTTTTCCAGTGCTGCACAAGCGTGTTCTGTGGGTCAACATAATCAAGTTTTCCCGGGAAAAGCCAAAAGTTGGTATTGCAGCCCTACGAACTCCAGGGAAACCATACATTGTGCCGACGACATTGGACCAAAATTCAATAAAAATGATATTTTTAGCACTAAAGACATCCATGGACTGAAAAATACCAACATGTTGAAAGGAGTTTTTTGGCATAGGGGGATCCAAAGGCGTAGAAGGCGTATACGCCCTCCCCTGTTCTACCGTACTAAGGAAAAGCGCCGTATGAACATCCGAGAGTTGCCAAATTTCCTCCGATAAAATGTTTGTTTTTCCGGAAAATTATGAATTTTCCCCTTGAAATTTTTAGAGGCTTTAGAGGAAATTGCGAACCAAACTGCCTGACAAATTAGAGGGAAAAGATTCATTTGTTTACAAAAAGATTCGTGTTTATCAAAAGAAATTTGGCAACGACTGAAGGCTCATACGGCGTTCTTCCTTAGAACGACAGTGTTCGCCCGATGAAAAGGAGGAAGAAAAAAGAGTTGAAGGAACGAAGAAGGAAGGATGCTCTAATTTGGTAATTTCCCATGACGAAATTAACTCAGATGCATTAGATTCTTTGTCTATCAATTTCAATAATCAGCCCGCTGGGTAGATAGCGGTGCGGGTTCTAAAAATATTGTCTCTGATTTTAGCCGCGATTTGGTAGCTGCGCGGGTGCAGGTCAGATTCAATCATCAAGTTGTTCGCGGTTTGCTCATGCGGCAGTGGCGAGGAATTTTTAAGCCTTTCTTTATTTTCAGCCGAAGAGTAATGCTCTCTTCTAACATTTGTTAATTAAAAATATACTCACGCAGGGACCGTAAACTTCAAATATGAATGCAGATGGGAATGAACAACAATTTTTCTCACACGAGTTACCGGTGGCGTGGCGTGCTTTAAGATACATCGATTGATCCACCGGTTAAACCCATGGAAAAGGATCGATAAAAAGTGTGTTCGCAAGGAACTCCGTAATAATCGATTCTTTACCATAGCTTCAAATAGGGAGACATCGATAATCGATAACTCAAGCCTCGCAACCGGTGACCGTCCAAGGGAGAAGGAATTCGATGAGCGGACGGAAGTATTTCAGAGGAGCCATTTTTTTCGACTCGGGTCGAAAATAATAAAATTGCCGTATTCTAAGCCAAATTATTTGAAAGACATGAAAAAGGTTGTGCTGAGGATGCAAAATTTGCTTAAAATGGGAGGAAAAACCTAAAAATGCGGTAGGAAGATTCAACGGACCACTAGGCATGGTGTAAATTTAAGCAATTTTTTAGGTCTTTTCGCGGCAATGTTTAGAAGTTATAGTTGAACTGAGTGAAAAATGAAGAATCTAAGTCAAATTTTGGAACACATTAAATTAAAGCAGTTTTAAACTTCATCCAGCCGCATGAGTTCTCCATCGAGAATTTTCAGAAAAAATATTCTACTTGAGAAAAAGGCATTAAACTCTGGCTCAAACATTGCATCTAACGGAGAAATTACTTTAAAATATCTTTTTCTCGCTTCGATTTTGGTGTCTTGATTCCTGTCTTCGGAACTTAGTCCAATTTATAATTGAAAGGTACATTGCATGAAAATGTCAAGTGACATTCTTCCAAAGCTGATAATCTCTCTTTTTTATGGTTTCTCAATACCATCGGACACTTTTTTCCAGCCCTAAGTCTTGAGGTGTATAACTGTTCAACCTTAGACTCGCTGTCTTCGAACAACGTCACTTATAATGAGGCTCGGGCTCCTGGTTTTCGAAAGAACCATTAAAACTGCACCGCTCCACTCATCTGAATTCTTTACATGAAAAAACCATTCATAATCCGATTAAGTATCCAACACAATAGGAAAGTTTTTTAAGTTCGTGTCCTTTTATTCCTGAACAAATGCATTGCCCAAGATGAAACTGAGATCGTCTCCGCGCTTCCCACTAAAAAGAACGTAACTAGGTATTAATGTCACCAAATTTCCTCTCACAAACGGTATTTTTGCCAGGACCATCTTGCTCAATTCTGATTAAAATTGTCACTGATTATACTTCTGATTTCGTAGCTGATCAGGAAAATTTTGGACAAAAATTCCTCAGGTATATTCTTAGGAAAAAATTGAACTGTCTGAGGCAATTTTCCAACTTCGGAATGGAGTTAGGTTCCTTCGTCCGGGAAACGATGATCTGTACGCTATTAAAATCGCTGACTATCACAAATAGAGAAATATAGCTTGAGCCGTTGTGTCTCGATATGCAGCTAAACAGCTTTAAAGCTTGCGCATTTGGCATTTTACGACTTGGATCTGTCAGCCAATGACTGTAATTGCTTTATAACAATCGAGAATTTGTTTTATGTTGCAGAGAGCTTATTCGGATTGGTGTTGTGTCCTGGGGCTTTTTGGATATCCAAAAAAGGTAAAAGCTGAGTTTGTTTTTTTTGCTTTTTAGCGGGCTGATTATTGAAATTGATGGACAAAGCGTTAGAAAAAGAAGTCATACGGAGTATGAAGCGATCCTATTGCTTGAAATGAGTGGCTCCTGTAGACTAAGAGAGGAAATGATGGACCAACTAAAAGGACTCTCGTTGGTTGCCGTCTTTGGTTAGTCTATTACGTACCTTTTTTGTCCATTGCAACCACCCGCTTCCACCAATAAAATCCCTCCATATCCCAGTTGTCCTCTTTGTCTATACCTGTTCCTGTCAATCTCAATAATCGGCCTGCAGCTTCGATCCTATGCGCAAGTTAGTCGCCCAACACGGTGCCCCTGAACTCACTTTAAATGCGACTTTGTTGTACATCAAAAATTCAAGTTGGAGGTTGTAGTGGGGTACCCCCTGATGGGTTTTTGGGCAATTTCGAAATAGGTTGTCGGAGCTCCTCGAAAAATAATCGCATTTTTGTGGTTTTTTAGGGGTAAAATAGCAAAATTGGCCTCCGGGCGACAAATTAAACCCCCTCTCCCTCATCCTTGC